TGTAGAGGATAGTCTGGAAGAACGCATCGGCTAGACACTTTAGTTTTTTTTTAATCCCACGCGGACGGAGTCGCGGACGAAAGCTAGTTTATACTAAAATACTTAAGTAAAACAAAGTGAAAAATTGACATTAGAGTAACATGAGGAAGTGGAAGCAGAGCAGGGGATGTACAGGAATGTGAAATATTTTCTGTCCCCTCCTCTGTCTATTGAAGATTCCATCTGTAATCTTTAAGATGTTGCAGATATTTTTGTGTAGACACTTCGGCATTTCAACAGCATATTATATAGAACCTAAAGCCTCTATGTTATTTTGGTAGTCTACCAGGAAACAGAGTACGTATCGGTAGTAATAGGACATGGTACAAAGAGACGAGCCACATGTGGGAACTCACACGTGTCTATAAGCGTTCATATTCCATTTCACTTGGCGTACGTTAGCACGTTTATTGTATACTAGCTGTTGCTTCCGACTTCGTGTACGTTTAATTAAAAAAATAATATATTATATAGCCTATGTTACTCGGTGATATCGTAGCTTTATAATGAAAATATTTTTTAAATAAATCCAATAGTTTTTGAGTTATTCCAACACAAACAAATATTCCTCTTTATAATATTAGTAGATACTGAAAAAAAAAAGAACAAGTAAATAATACAAAATGTCATTTATTAAGCAAAATCTAAAAGTAACTATACAAAATACATGACTTCGGTACAAAAAAACAGAAACACAGTTTAATAAAAGAAAAACACTCAGCTAATGCTGCCTCCAGCTTAACTGACGGCCGCGTTGGTTTTTAGCCTCCCCTTAACTACTTTTACAAGGTTCATGTTATTTTATACATCGCACATATTGGACCAGTTGTTTTATAAAACCAGCTTCCACTAGGACTTTTAGAATCATTTATATAGACGTTACAAAGAACAAGTTTAGTATAACAGCAACAGCAGGCTACAGGAGTTTTAAAGTTAAATTTAGATTGGTACAATAGTAAGGCTGAACTTTAGACTTCGACGTCGCCAGGAGATTGGAGTAATACCTGAATTAAAAAAAATAGCTAACATCAATGGCTAGTTTTCGCCCGAATTCCACCCGCGAGAAATTAAAAAAACAAAAGTGTCTATGTGTTCAGACTATCCTCTACGTCTTTGCGAATTTTCATCGAGATCTGTTCAGCCGTTTTGACTACAAAGGTTAACAAACATCCATCTAAACTTACGCTTATATGTAAGATAGCTCTTCCTCAGACCTAGTCTGGGTCAAGGCGACGCTTGTAAGAGATAGCTTGCGTGAAAGGTGATTAAGAAGGTGACGATTGAAAGGACGAAATCCTGATGCGTCGCTATTTAGCGATGATGTAATACAAAACCATTGAGGTATATTTCCATCGTAATTAATATAACACCTTTACTTTACGTCACAACTTTCCACGCAGAACGCGCTTTGATAATATAAAATGGTTTTAGCACAGACATGAAAGCGATTCCGTTTTATCGACCTGACGCACGCTGGCGATAAAATGATCGCATGCGAAAATCACACGTCCTTTTATACCTGTATGTATATATTATGTGTTATATAATAATCTAATTAACATGTAAGATATTAAAATACAACACGTTTAAACTCATGACTTGACTAAAAATTGACATTTGCAATTGAAAATTTGAATAACGTAAACAATAAAATAAAGTTTTTATAATTTCATGCGGATGAAACCGCACGGGGACAGCTAGCGTTTTTAAAATACAAAAGATACGAATAGGTAACTGGCAACTCAGAATAATTAAGTAGTCACTATGTACATTGTTTTGCACTAATTTTATATGATTTAACGTATTTCGCACAGCTTCTGTTTTATCAATTACTAGCTGTTCCCGTGCGGCTTCATCTGCATGAAATTATGAAAATTTTATTTTATTGTTTCATCATCATCACCAGCTCACTATACGTCCCCACCGAGAGGCTCGGAGCCTACCCTATTAAGGGGTGACTAGGCCATAGTCAACCACGCTGGCCAAGTGCGGGTTGGTTGACTTCACACATATCTTTGAA